CAACCAACGCTCCTTTCTAATGTATGCAAGTGAGACCAAAACATTTTCTGCATGAGTGCACGTGTTAAAATGCAAATCAATAACCATTCATACTGTTAACAATCTGACTTTTCAAGAATTGGGCGCGTCAAGAATTGCTCAAAAACGCATAATTGCCCTGGCAGCTATGGTACGCGTTACTATCTGGCTTTTATAATGCTGCGGAAAACTCGAAATTTTGGTTTGGTGAATGTCGAGTGGTAATATAAACTAAGCAATCCGATAATGAATGTTTTTGTGCGTTATTGTTCTCTTATGATTTCATGTCAGCGGGCTGATTTTACTATTCTGATTCAATTAACAAACTAAAAAATTTGGTGGTTTATACTTTTCATACAGTAGTTATGGGGCGGCTTAACTGCACTTTGCAAATATAGAAGCAAGCTTCAAAATTTAACTGCATCAAAATTTTCCGTAATCCGCGAAGAAATTCTAGCCACGTTAGTTAATAGAATTTTTAGCAGCAGTATAGAAAAAGAAACAGTAACTTGTCAGTAGGCTGCTCGCTTGATGATAATAATTTCGGCTTAAATTACTTTCAGTTAAAGACGAGAAGAGACAAGTAGCAGTACGAGGTCATTGACAAAACTGAGAACTTACGGACAGTGCCGATGTGGGCATTTCTGCTTGTGACCTTTTTTTGGTTGATTAAATATGCCATGATTGGCGCACAACTGACACATATATTGTTCTTTAGGCATCTATAAAACTTGGTTTTAGTGCGACAGTAGAAGCAGATTCGACTCTTCTGAATGTTTCAAGGAAAACAAAATTTAACAAAGTTTGCTTTATCCCAAGAACATATACCAAATCCTATTAGCACTCCTCGATTCCAGCGAGGACGGCCGACAACAAACTGACCACGAATTAATGAATTTCAAATTCGCTGACATGCCCCCTTTACGAAATTTGGAGCGGAAGCACACGCACAGGATGACATATAATGGGCTGTTTAACAAATGCACTTTGAAACAAGAAAAGCACGAAGCATATCGAGTGCAGAAATTACAGATTCGACCGGCTTAGAAGACAGTTATAGCTTGTCCATACGCGCCTCGGGTATTTTAAATATCGCTAAAACTGGTGCAGATTTTGTGCAGAAGTGAAACCTATGGATTTACTTGTTATAGATTATGCACTTAAAAGATTTTGAGCATGTTTTATCCCAAAAAGTTGTTAGCCCTGAAATTTACTGCATGATTTCTGTTGTAGCATAATAAAATTATCTTTTTTTAGGCCTAAGGCAAGTCGTATAGTGCTCCTTCTCCTAGATCACTAGCTTTTTTTAATGTCTGTAGGACGGAGGACCAGGTGAACTGCACCGGCATCTCTCGGTTTTTTGATCCGAGCAGAATGTTCGTGTTTCAAAATTATCCTCTCAGAACACTGCGATTTGTTTCCTACCCGGTACGTTTGGGTATACTTGCGGCCCAGACTTCCCTGAGTTTCTCTTTCAAGCGCAAAATGGAACAGAAAAACCACAGTGGCCTAGCCAAACAAAGACGGTTACGCTGGTAAAGGATTACTTAGAGGTGGAGACGACTTCTGTTAAAAAAAGAACTAGGAAGTTGAAATGAGTTTTTAAAAATGGATACTGTAACACTACGGAGTTACTTATCGGAAGTTTTGATGAACACTAGAAATTCCCACAAAAGCGCAGTTGTGGGATTTTTTTTTGAAAGGCTAATGGTATGATCGGGAGTCAAATCCAGCAAATCAAACAGCCCGAAATGAAATCCGTCGAGACTGTGACCAGCTGAAAGCCAACGTTTGAAGTTGAAAGGGCGGGTATGTTCACAGCGAAGAGGGGATGAAGAGAACGAGGATTGACGAGAAGCAGGTAGCAGAGGCGGAGCACCAGCAACTCCGCTTGTTCAAACTGCGACCAGCCAATGAATGAAACAAAAATTCCATGTTCTGCGGAGAGACACGATATTTTGGTGTGCTTTGAAGTAAAATATGCATTTCTGCGGATTCCCAGTTGAAGGATTCGCTAGCTTCACGCAGCTGCCCGCCGTTCTTCCAGCCATTGCGAGTGTAGATTTGGCTTGCAAATGTTGCCAGATGACTCATACAGGAGGATGCCGAAGCAGAAAATGCCGGATGAGAGCAGTATGTGCTCTCGGCTGGCCACCAAATCCACTGCAAGCAGTAGTATTTGGCATAAGATTTGGTGAATATTCACAGAAAGGAAACCAAGTGTGACTTGCTGTAACTTGTTGTAAACAGCGGCGGTCACTGCCACTTTTGCCACTTCTGCGCGTTTTTGCAATAAACCTCTTCCCAGAGGCCAGTGCATGCCCAAGCTTGCCATGATTATCTTTTAACCAACACAGTACCTGAAAAGCTGGGATTTCAGGCTCATAGTTTACTTTGTTTTTTTATAATCAATGTAATCCTGTTTTAGCCTATTAGAAATCAAAATGCAGAGGGATTTGAAGCTGATTTGAAATCAACGCGCTTTGTTCAGTAAATTTCGAGACAAAAATTTCCTATTTGAGCTGACTTTATTAAGAATTGAAATATTAACTCGATCCAGACGCGAAGTCATAAGTCGAAACGTAGCGAAATTTGGGAGACGATTTCGAGCTACTCAGCTCATAACACCTCAGTGAAAAAGCCGATTTCCAAATTCTTAGCTTTTCGTGTTTCTGGGTTATAAGATTAGTCGAACTATGAATTAGAGCTTAAGGAGTAAACAAGAGAAAAGTTGATTTTAGCTTCGTAGCTTGCGCAAGGTCAGGAATTGTGAATCTGAAATTTCAGCTTTCTTCGGGATCTGTGTATCTGAAATTTCAACTTCTTATTCTTCGCCGTTTTTTAGCTCGAACAAAACATACGTACAAGCACGGCTCATCACTATGCTTCCTTGAATAAACTGTTTGTCAAACTTTTTTTTTTCACTATCTTGCATAACATTCATGCAACTTAGTCGAAAACTTTCCGGCTGCCGATACGAGGATATGTTTTTTGCACAGTTCCCCCGCAGGTTTTTTTCGCCAGTGGCACGCTCTTCCCGGCAGATACTTCT